ACCACCTGACCTGCCTCCTAAGAAATCTGTATGCAGGTCAAGAAGCAACAGTTAGAAGCGAACAAGGAAGAGTGGACTGGTTACAAATTGGGAAAGGAGTACATAAAGGCAGTATATTGTCACCCTGCTTATTTAACTTATATGCAAAGTACATCATGCGAAATGCTGAGCTGGATGAATCACAAGCTGGAAGCAAGTTGCCAGGAGAAATATCATTAACCTCAGATAGGCAGATGACACCACCCTTATGGCAGAAAGTGATGAGTAACTGAAGAGCTTTTGATGAAACTGAAAGAGGAGAGTGAAAAAGCTGGCTTAAAACGCAACAGTCAAAAAACTAACATCATGGCATCTGGTCTCATCACTTCATGGCAAATAGATGGGGAAACAATGGAAACAGTGACAGACTTTATTTTTGAGGCTGCGAAATAATTGCAGATGGTGACTGCAGCCATGAAATTAAAAGATGCTTGTTCCTTGGAAGAAAAGCTAAAACCAACCTAGACAGCATATTAAAAAGCAAAGACATTACTTTGTCAATAATGGTCTGTCTAGTCAAAGCTACGGTTTTTCCAGTAGTCATGCATGGATGTGAAGTTTGCACCGTAAAGAAAGCTGAGTGCCAAAGAACTGATGCTTTTGAACTATGGTGTTGGAGAAGACTCTTGAGAGTCCCTTGGACTGCAAGGAGACCCAACCAATCCATCCTAAAGGAAATCAGTCCTGAATACTCACTGGAAGGACTGATGCTGAAACCGAAGCTCCAATACTTTCACCTGCTGATGCAAAGGACTGACTCATTGGGAAAGACTCTGATGCTGGGAAAGATTGACAGCAAGAAAAGGGGACAACAGAGGATGAGATGGTTGGATGGCATAACTGACTCAATGGACATGAATTTGAGCGAGTTCTGGGAGTTGGTGACGGACAAGGATGCCTGGCGTGCTGCAGTCCCTGGGGTCGCAAAGAGTTGGACACGACTGAGCTACTGAACTGAACTGAATTTGTCTAGTTTTGGTATCAGGGTGATCTTGGCTCTGTGAAATGAGTTAGAAAGTGGAATCCAGGTCTTCTGCATTACAGGCAGATTACCATCTGGAAAAGATGTGTGTGCTGTAGTTCACGGGGTTGCAAAAAGTCCGACATGACTTCTCAACTGAACAACTCCCTACAGAGATGCTTTACGGAACAAAAATGATAAAGGAAGAGAAAAAATGTTTTTTCAATTTTTTTGGGAAACCACTAGCATAAGTGATTTTAAAAAGGAAAACATAAAAATAACAAAAATGAAGAATGAAATGGAAGTATTACTGTATATGTTATAAATAACTACAAAAATACTAAGAATTTATTATTAAAAACTTTATAGCATTATAGCAATAAATTTTAAAAAGACAAACTCCTAGGGAAAAATTTACCAAAATTGACTTCAAGAATAAAAGAAAAATTAATAATCATATAACATGAAAGATTAATTACTAATCAAAAACCTACCCAAACAGAACTATTATGCTCAGATGGCTTCTTTTGTGACTACCACTAGACATGAAAGGAATATGCAATTCCAATGTTACATAAGCTATTTTAGGATTTAGAAAAAGAAAGAATACTTTTCAAATTACAAGGATAATTTGACATTGAAGCCTGACAATGCCAGTATGAGAAAACAAAACTATCATTAGTCTCACTCATAAATAGAGATTAATAAATTGTAAACAAAGTTTACAAAAATAAAATTTCTGTTTCTATTTTATTAGAAAAATTAAAATAATAATATTTCATGACCAAGATGGGTTTAATCCAAAATTCCGGGTTTCATTTAATATTATAAAAATTCAACTCCTGTAATTCACCACACTAACAAATTAAAAGAGAAAACTCAGAAGACCTACCTTAAGAGATACATAAGAATTGTTTGGAAAATTCATGATAAACCAAATAAACAAATATAAATTCAATCTTTTTAGCAAAAAAGGAATAGAAGGCAATTTCCTTAGACTGGTGAATGGTATTTATGAAAATCCCACACCAAATTCACACTTGTTTATGAAGCTCTTTCTATAAGAAATACCCTATCTCTGGAATTCAAGGTTGGGAGGTAGAAGAGTAGGGCTCTATCATATGTATTTTTGTGACCATTCACTCCAATAAATAAGCATCTGCTTTTAAAACGGACAAGATTACTTGTTTCTGTTCAGTTCAGTTCAGTTCAGTTCAGTTGCTCAGTCGTGTCCGACTCTTTGTGATCCCATGAATCGCAGCACGCCAGGCCTCCCTGTCCATCACCAACTCCCAGAGTTTACTCAAACTCATGTCCATCGAGTCGGTGATGCCATCCAACCATCTCATCCTCTGTCATCCCCTTCTCCTCCTGCCCCCAATCCCTCCCAGCATCAGGGTCTTTTCCAATATGTCAACTCTTCGCATGAGGTGGCCAAAGCATTGGAGTTTCAGCTTCAGCATCAGTCCTTCCAATGAACACCCAGGACTGATCTCCTTCAGGTGAATTCTACTGAACAGTTAGAGAAGAGTTAATACCTATCACAATTTCAAAATATTGCAGAGAAAGGAACTCTACCAAACTCATTCTATACAGCCACCACTGCCCTAATAACAAAACCAGAAAAAGAGATTCAGTGCAATTCTTATCAAAACACCAAAGGTATTTTTCACAGAAGTAAAACAAATAATTCTAAAATTTGTGTGGAAATGCAAAACACCCTTCAAATAGCCAAAACAATCCTAAGAAAGAAGAATAAAACTGGAGACATCATAATTTTTGATTTTAAACTATACCTAATAGTAATCAAAATAGTATGGTATTGGTACAAAACAGACACATAATTCAATGCAACGTAATAGAGAGCCCAAAAATGAAACCACACTTATGTGGGCAATTAATCTATGACAAAGGTGGGAGAAAACACAATAGGGAAAAGACACCCTCTTCACTAAATGGTGTTGTGAAAACTGGGAAGCTGCATGCAAGAAATCAAACTGGACTCCCCTCTTACATGATGCAAAAAAATAAATTCAAAATGAATTAAACACTTAAATATAAGGCCCAAACCCATGAAACTTCTAGAAAAAACATAGGCAGGATGTTCTTTGACATAAGTCTTTGTAATATTTTTTTGGACATGTCTCCTTAGGCAAGGGAAACGAAAGCAAAAATAAGCAAATGGGACTAACTCAAACTAAACTAAAATCTTTTTGCACAGTGAAGGAAGCTATCAACAAAATGAAAAAGCTATCTACTGAATGTCAGGTGATATTTGCAAGTAATATTAATGTATCCAATAAGGGTATCCAAAATATACAAAGAACTGGTATGACTCAATGCCAAAAAAATAAGCAAACACATTAAAGAATAAGCAGAGGATATCAATACATATTTTTCCACAAGACATACAGATGATCAACAGGCACATGAAAAGATGCTCAACATCACTAATCATGAGGGAAATGCAAATCAAACCTACAATGAGATATCACCTCACACCTGTCAGAATGGCTGTTATCAAAAAGACAACAAATAGGGGCTTCCCTGGTGGCACAGTGGTAAAGAATCCATCCAATTCAAGAGACACAGGCTCAATCCCTGGTCCAGGGAAGATCCATGTGCTGTGGAGCAACTAAGCCATGCACCACTGAGCCTGTGCTCCAGAGCTCAGGAACCGCAACTACTGCGCCATGTGGCAACTGCTGAAGCCTGCATGCCCTAGAGCCTGTGCTCTGCAACAAGAGAAGCCCCCACGAGGAAGAGCCAACGCGCTACAACAAAGAGTAGCCCCTGCTTGCTGCAACTAGAGAAGAGCCCTCTCAGCAACAAAGACCCAGCACAGCCAAAAAATAAATAAATAATAAAAAATAAAAACCAAATATTCTTTTTTTAAAAGACAACAAATAAGAAGTCTTGGCAAGATGTGGAGAAAGGGAAATCTGTAATGTCAGTATGCAATTTGGTGTAACCACTATGGAAGACAGTATGGAGGTTTCTCAAAAAACTGAAATCAGTGCTACCATTATGACTCAGCAATTCCACTCCTGGGCATATATCCAAAGAAAACAAAAACATTAATTAGAAAAGACATATTCATCCCTTTGTTTACTGGAGCATTATTTATAATATTCAAGATATGGAAGCAACCTAAGTGTCCATCAATATGTGAACAGACAAAGTAGATGTGGTGTACATGTACACTGCAATATTACTCAGCCATAAAAAAAGAATAAACCCTTGTAATTTGCTGCAATATGGATGGACCTAGATGGTATTATGCCAAAAGAACTAAGTCATACAGAGAAATACAAAACTATATGATTTTAATTATATATGAAATCTAAAAAAAAAGAGAGAGAAATAAACAAAAATTACAAAAATATAAACAGATTTTTAGATACAGAGAACAAATAGGTATTTGCCAGAGGGGAAAGTTTGGGGAAGAGAAGAAAATAGGTGAGGGAATTAAGAGGTACAAACTTAAATAGTTATCAAAGAAATGAGTCATGGGTATGAAATGTACAGTGAGTGGAACATAGCCAATAACTATGTAGTACCTTTGGGTGGTGACATAGGATAATTAGAATCATTGTGGTGATCAGTTTGAAATGTTTAGAAATGTCAAATCACCATGTCATGTAATAGGAATTAACATTGTGTTACAGGTCAATTATACTTAAAAGCAAACTCATAGGAAAAGATATCAGATTTGTGGTTACCAGAGATGGAGGATGGGGGGTAGTTAAAAGGTCAAAACTTCCAGGTATAAGATTAATAAGCACTAGGGATGTGACATGCATCATGATAAATATAATTAATGCTGTATGTTATATATGAAAGTTGTTGAGAGTAAACCCTAAGAGTTCTCATCACACAAAAAAAATATTACTTCTATTTCTTTAATTTTGTGTCTGTATGAGAGATAGATGTTCACTAAACTTACAGTGGTAATTACTTGATGTATATAAATTAAATCACTATGCAATACACCTTAAACTTATATAGTGCTGTATATCAATTATATCTCTATAAAACCAGAAGAAAAAAAGAATGGGGTAGCTTATAGAATATAATAAAACATGGAACAGTATCTAAGATACACTGTTAATTTTTTAAAGTCAATTATGGGATATAATGGGCTTCCCACGGGATGCAAGTAGTGAAGGGCCCACCTATTAATGCAGGAGAGCTGGGTTCAATCCCTGGGTAGGGAAGATCCCCTGGAGAGCGCACGGCAACCCACTCCAGTATTCTCGCCTGGAGAATCCCCATGGACAGGGGAGCCTGGTGAGCTACAGTTCATGGGGTCGCAAAGAGTTGGACACAACTGAAGCGACTTAGCATACATGCACATGGAATATTATGGGCATGAGATTAAACCCAGGTCTCTCACATTGCAGGCAGATTCTTTACCATCTGAGCCACCAGAGAAGCCCAAGAATACTGGAGCAAAGTGACCTAATTTAAAATAATAATTTGGAAAACACAAATATTCATTGATCTAAAGAAAAAAGCCTAAAAGGTTATTTACCAAATATTAACAGGAGTTTTCCAGACAGTGACATTACAGAGGCTACACTTTGTGTTTCCTACATTTCTGGTCATTAAAATTTTTATAACATTTAAAATATTGCGTTTAGTATATAATACAATTTTCTTATTTTGACTATGAAAAAGATCAAGACCTTATTTTTTTCCAGTCTTTTCCATCACAAATGCACAATTCTTAAATGAAAAAAAATTAGTAGTTTACCATAATTGGAAGTGTTCAAATATAGATGAAACAAACATTTGTCACAGATACCACAGAGAAGATTAAGCATCCAATATAGTGTTTGACTAGATGACCTCTGAATGAGTCCTGAGTTGCTTTTTAATAGTTTACCATAAAGAGCTTACCAATAAAATTGGAAAATTTCTGGGTGTCACTCAGAGTCTTCATATAGTCTTTAACATTAACCATGTTGTCTTCTGGAAGGAAAAGAAAGAGAGGTCACAAGCAAGGATTCGCGGACAAAATAATATTAAAAATTCATTGTCAGACTTCTCTGGTTGTCCAGTGGTTAAGAATCCACTTGCCAATGCAGGGGATCCCTGATCTGGGAAGATTCCACAAGATGCAGGACAGCTAAGCCCGAGCATCACAACTACTGAGCCTGTGCTCTAGAGCCCACGAGCTGCAGCTGCCAGCCCCCTCGCCACAACCACTGAAGCCCGAGAGCCCTTAGCCCGGGCCCTACAGCAAGAGAAGCGACTGCAATGAGAAGCCTGTGCACTACAACTGGAAGGTAGCTCCTGCTCGATGCAGCAACCAAAACCCAGTTCAGCCAAGAATAAATTAATTAATTTACACGTATATAGTATCAAAATCAGCATACCATTTTTATATTGAAAATTTTAAACCTTTAATTTATTCTTGAAAGTTTTATTTACCAGATACTTTGGATTCATTTTCATCCAAAATGCCTTGTGATGAGATTGTAGATACACTAGCTCTGTGCAAAAACTAAAATACCAAGAAACTTTTAAAGTCCAGTAACTTCACTCTACCCAAAGCAACAAAGCCAGGATTTCTACTCACAGATTCTGAATTCAAACTACTCTTCAGTCACTAAATTAAGATTTATCTGAGGGGAGAGGATTACAACAAGCCCATTCTCCACAAAATTTCAAACTGCTTGTTAAAATTATTCTCATAACTGCAAACGAGGAAAGACTCCTTTTCAAAGATAATTTTTTTCTGTTTTTTTTTTTCATTTATTTTTATTAGTTGGAGGTACCTATACACCATGGAATATTACTCAGCCAAAGATAATGTTTAAAATAACAAGCAAATACCTATAGATATTTGCTCAACAAAGGAACTGAATTTACTTGAACAAAGACCATGCACTTTCTTTATAAAGAATACTTATAAAGACTAGTCTTACCGAAAACCAAATGAGACAAACAAAAAACCTGATAGAAGTATTTAAATGCTTACCAGAAACAAAATCTGACTGAAGGATTTTCTCTACCTCTTCTTTAGGTGACTTAATTCCAATATCTCCTAGAAAACCTTCCAAGTTCTTCCCAGGTATCATGTCATCTTCAGGCAAATCAACAGCTAAGACAGTCTCCTGTGATTCTAGAAATAGGAAGAAGTTATTTAGTAACTGATCTAGCCTCTGAATTTAAAAGCAGTAACAATCACTAAAGGCTTTTGTCAGTGGCAACTCATGGTTTATGATCACATCCTGAATTGAGGAATAAGAAATCTCAGTGAAGAATCCAGACCTCAGGAAATACTATGTCCACCAATATAATATACAAAGAATTCTTGATCACATTTCTCTGGTGCTAATATAAAATTGGCATAACCAAAATGATTCATATAGCTGAATTTTTCACTATAGTTACACAGAAGAGTTATTTTACTGGGATTCCCTGGTGGCTCAGTGGTAAAGAATCTGCCTGCAATGCATGTGACCTGGGTTCAATCCCTCGGCCAAGAAGATCCTCTGGAGAAGGGAATGGCTACCCACTCCTGTATTCTTGCCTGGAAAGAGGAGCCTGGTGGGCTAAAGTCCATGGGGTCGCAAAGAGTCAGACATATGGATTTCTAATAGTAGCAAGCAAAATTAACTTTATTTATTGAGGTGAAATAATTTTCAGAATCACAAAAACTGTAAACTACAAAACACAGTATCACAAGGGCTCATTCATCTTTTCTCTTCAATTCTACCAACAGTCAATTGTACTCTAGCATCTGGAATTTCACTTCACATCCAGCCTTTTCAAAGGAGGCAGTGTTAAGTCAGATAGATCTGCATTCAAATCCTGACCCTGGAATTTGTGACCTGGAACTCTGTGACCATGAGCAAATTTTTACTACTTAACCCTTAACCCCTCTATAAATCTCATTTGTCTTATATGTAAAGTGGAATTATAACAGTATCTACCTCACAAGGTTGATGTGGAGATAAAATATGAAAATATATTGAAAAACATTTAAAACAGTGTTAGACATATCAGTTCAGTCAGTTCAGTCACTCAGTCATGTCTGACTCTCTGTGACCCCATGGACTACAGCATGCCAGGCTTCCCTGTCCATCACCAACTCCCAGAGCTTGCTCAAACTCATGTCCATTGAGACGGTGATGCCATCCAACCATACACTAAGGGTTTATTAAGTGTCATTATTAATAGCAATAAAATAATTGTCATTTTTATTATAATTATTAAAACCAACAAGAAAGTAGCTACAAATGGTAATCACAGCTTCTTAGTGCCTTAGATCCTACCTCACTTCCTGTTCCCCTAACATTATTAGGAGACAACTGCAGATGGCAATTTGAGTTTTGCCAACACCTAAAAACCTGTATCAACTCTTCTTTCTTAACCAAAATTTGGTTTCCTTTAAAATATTGTTTCCTTGCATAATCATCTTGAGTACAGTCTATTCATTCTCCCCTGTTCCATATGCCATAGAACCAGGAAGCAGACCACCATTCTCTGGTTTTCTACTGCTGTTTTGAGCCTATTTTAGTCCAACTTCAATCAAAATATATCACTTCCTTTTAAGGTTCAAGCCTGATATTCAACTATACCACCCTTCTGACACCATTTTCTATTACTTTCTGATCACTCCTTCATAGTCTCTAAGGATTTTGGCACATTGATCATAATCTTCCCTCAACTCTATATCCTATTATCATCCAATGACAATAAGGATGATCCTAACCTCAGAGCACCTTGACATCTTAACTGCCAACAAGCCTTCACTTTCTTTCCAAAGTCATCCACACCAATGGCTATTCTTAATCCTCATCATAACCTAGCATTGCCTGCCTCATCCCTAATATCCTAAACTACAAGATCAGACACTGACCATAATCCTTTAAGACTGTATGTGTCTTTGTTGAAGGGAAGTACAGAACTTTGCACATTATGCCTCCTCTCCAGGCCCCTCCAAGTTCTCCAGCGGACAGCTGAGACACAGTGAACTAGCCTGATCGGTTATGATGGAGGGCCTGCTATGCTAACTCTTTCCTTCTTGGGGAGCCCTTGTTTACTCTTCCCTGTAGTTATTGGCCTTATATTGCACTAACTGGCAGATTCCAATGCCATCTCCCTCATTCCTGTGACCATCCCCAAGATTCAGGTATCTAACCCGAATCCATCTGTTCTCCTTTCGCAATGGCTTAATTTCAACATTTTTTTTCTTACCATCTGAGCCCTGCTCTCTGACTTCAAAGTTAACTACCATTTGCTAAGCAGATAATATGTACCTAATAATTCTGCTCAATATGTATTTTTGCAGTTGATCCTGGCAACTGTATGAGAAACACGCTGTTTTTAGCATCCTTGTTTTAAAGATGAAGAAATCAAAATGGCCTAGAGTGAGAAGGCAGCTAATAAGTCAAAGAACCACACACCCATCTTTTATCATACTCCATAGCCCACGCTCTTTTCTACTACTACGCACTGTTTCCTATTGCTTAGCTAATCTAATTAACTACTATACTATGTTGATGCTAATTATGTTATGACCCAGGTAAAATACTTATATGTAAACCAGAAAATATTAAATACATTTCTTACCTAAAAGAGAGCTCTAGTGGTGGGTATTTCATATGCCAAGAAAGCCTATGTATTAAAAATCTATAAGTATATTGTCTGCTTCTTTGGACACAGAAATGACTCTGCATTGAGTCATTTCCCTAACATTTTTCTGAGTTGTCATTCTTTCCACAAGAGTGCTCACTGATCAAATAGTTATTTGAATGGCTATTCAAATAAATCACCAGTAATACTGTTTTAAATATATTTTCCAAACAAGAAAGTGCACAAACCCCACAAGTACAATCTTCATTGGTTTCAGTCCTACATCTTTAACTTTTAAACCAAAATGGAAGTCAAATAGTAGAAAACCTGTGCCACTGAACTGCACATGGTCTCTCTCATATTTAACAAAAACTAAAGAAAGGAACATAAGAAGTGTCTATTAAAGAAGTAAAAGCACTGGGAAGACCCAGAGGGATCGGGTAGAGAGGGAGGTGGGAGGGGGGATCGGGATGGGGAATACATGTAAATCCACGGCTGATTCATCTCAATGTATGACAAAAACCACTACAATACTGTAAAGTAATTAGCCTCCAACTAATAAAAAATAAATGAAAAAAAAAGAAGTAAAAGATTTATGAGAAATTATATAATATAGAAGCCTATACACAGGATGGAGTCCTAAGTCTGAGGCTTAAAACGATATACAGAATTTTCATATCTGGAAACATTTTAAGGCCAGTGCTGACTGTATATATAAAGTCCTAAAAACAAAAAAAGTTAAAAATAGGTTTAAGCGGATCCCTTTCTACAAAAAATCTTTTTTCTTTCATTAAGAAACCTGTCAACTTTTAATCAAAACCAAGCTCTGCCTACCTATAAATAGATCAATGCCAATATGTTAACCAGAAATTAGCACAACCAGAAAAGGTAAAAAACAAAACCAAAGGCATCCCTCCAATAAAAATAAATTTAACAGTCATAAGTAATCCAATACTTACCTTTTAACTTGGAGGTATCATGCATTTCCTTTACCACTTTTGCAAATTCTTCAATTTGTACTTTGTCACCTTCTGTAAGAAAAACATTTTAAATAAATCAGCCTCACTGAAGCAGAAGTTGGATCCAATAAAGCAATCTTTGAAGATGTAAATTATTTGATGTACTCATAAAAATTATATTTCCTTTGTATATTGTTGAGTGACCAAAAGATTAATTTTATGGAATGAAGAAACCTTATGGCTGCAGAAATCAGGCTGAGATTTTCATTTCCAATAGTCAAGAGAAACTATGCAATCCATATCACCAGAAATAAAACTAAGACACAAATCTCAGTTTAATTTTAGCCTTTCAAATGTTTGAAGATAAAAATACTGTAGCAGATGTAAAACTTTTTCCAAAGTCAGATGGCTCTATAGCTAGAATTTCTGATTGATGTTTACACCCATTTCTTATACAAAAATACATAAGTACGAGATTACAAAGACAAAGTGACAAACACTTTGTTTTATGAATCTGGAACAGGGAAAATTAATCCAAGGATTTAGAATTACTATAGTTTATGATCATAGGATAGAATACAGTATAAGCAGAAAGTGTATTGACAGCAGATAAGACCTTGCCTAGAGCTTAAATATATAGCTACAAAGGCCAAAAGGTATATGAAAAGGTGTTTAATATCACTAATCATCAGTGAAATACAAATCAAAACCACAACGAGATATCATCTCACATCTGTTAGGGTGGCCATTACCAAAAAGAAATAACTGATACTGGTGAGGATATAGAGGAAAAGGAACCCTTATAAACTGTGGATTGGAAGGTAACTGGGTACAGTCATTATTTTTAAAGTATAGTGGTTCCTCAAAAAATTAAATATAGAACTACCACATGATTCAACCATTTCCCTTTTTGTTTAATTATATATACATGATGGACTATTATTTAGTCATAAAAAAAAGAAGGAAATTCTGCCATTTGTGACAACATAGATAAGCCTGCAGGGCATTATACATTTTATTAAGTGAAATATGCCAAACAGAGAAAGACAAGTACTGTAGGGTATCACTTATATTTGGAATCTTAAAAAAAAAAACCAATTTCATAGAAACATAAAGTAGATAGGGGCTTGGGGAATGGGAAATGGAGAAGCATAGGTCAAAGGGCAAAAACTTTCAGTTATAAGAAAAATAGTTTCAATAAAAGAAAAAGAATAAGTTCAGAGAATCTAATGTACAGCATGGTGATTATAGTTGAACATATGGCAATTTACACTTGAAAGTTGCTGAGATTAGATGTCAAGCATTCTAATCATTCATATACACACAAAATTAACTATGTGAGGTAATGGGTGTACATGTGTTAATTATCTTGATCTTGTTAATCCTTCCACTATATCTTTCAATCATAATATTATACACTTTACATACAATTATATTTGTCACTTATTATGCAATAAAATTGGAAATATATACACACATATAGCTACAACCAATAGTGTCTTATCTTTTATCTTTCCTTGGCTTTCAAATTAACACTTTGATTTTTAGGAACCGTACTCTACAGTAAGAGCATGTATCTTTATTGCATTTTTCCAGCTTCTATGGGTCCTGCCCCATTGAGCCATACTAAGTCGCTTCAGTCGTGTCCAACTCTTTGTGTCCCTATTAACTGTAGCCCGTCCATGAGATTCTCCAGGCAAGAATACTGGAGTGGGTTGCTGTGCCCTTCTCCATGGGTTCTTCCTGACCCAGGGAGCAAACCCACGTCTCCTGTGGCTCCCACACTGTAGGCAGATTCTTTTATCTCTGAGCCACCTGGGAAGCCCCTTAGTAGGCCCTACATTTCCCTAACTATAAGAGCTCTGCCTTAAATATGTCAGGTATCTCTCTGATGTGGGAAGAAAGGGTAGAAAAGGATACAAAAAGTTTGTGTATCCCATTTCCCAGGATTCTTTTATAGTCTGTTACTCTGGATAATCTCCTACCAGCCTCATATCAACTAGCAAGGCAAGATAATCAAATTTTCTAAGACTGGTTACAAAAAGACCTTCTCAATTAAGTGTCTTCAATTTATAGCAGCTTAAAGAGAAGCTTAAAGTAAGCAGTAGGCATTGCAGCTCAGTCACCTAAGTGGAGATTCCTCTGAATCCAGCACATATATTCAAACACAACTAAATTCAGCTATTTAGAATTCTAAAAGAAAGAAAGGAAAAAAGCAAACAAACAAGGAGCATCTGAGGTCCCCAGGTGCCAATGACACTAGCAGGTGCTCTAACAAAATCTGCATCTAGGGTTGGGCCTGTTTACCAACAGACACAAATCTCTATGACCTATAATTCCATTTGGTCCTTAAGTTCTTACATATGCTGAAACAGAAAAGCAACCACAGGTTTCAGAAAAGATTCCTTGGGTACATTTAAAATATATTCTATGAAAAGACATGTGGGCAGACAGAGATTTTGGAATTTGGCACTCATTCTTTGCTAAACCACCAACACAAGGTTAACCACCACAAGTGCCAGGTTTCAAAGTTAGAGCCTGAAATAAATGTTCAGACCTAACTTGAACAAGTATAAACGAAAATAGCAATATCACAAAGACATGTTCTGAATCAGGTTGTCAAATCCAAAAGAAAAGAAAGTTATTTAGCTAATTTCAGTTCCATCAGAGATCAGAGTCAGGAGAAATAGAACAAATACATCTCAGTTTAAGTTTAAAAACCTAAAACAAATAAAACTGGAGAAACCAGAAGAGAAGAAAGTATCTGAAGTCTTTATGCCTGGCTACAACTATAATGATTTCCTCCTTATAATTCCTAGTCTATGGATTCAGTCTCTCACATTCCCCTTAACTATTTTCCACATCATCCCGACATATTTTGGCTCAACCTCAACTCTCTTCATTTAGATCTTTTATCAGAAACAGGGAGGGACTCAAAAGCTATATAACTTGATATTTTGGAAGCATTTCTGAATTTTCCAAATGATACACACCTTTTTTACTTTTCAATGCATTTTTCTAATCATCATAAAACTAATTTTTTCATTTTAAATATACTTTAAAATACTGAGGAGTCAATATGGAATATCATCAACAGCCAGGAAGTAATTCACTTAGAGAGAACCTAAATCTGTTGCTTTTTTTTTTCTTTTTAACATAACCTGGTCAAATGATTATTTCAGGACAATAATCCTTAAGTTCTTTCTCATATTTCTAAGGATGTGTTGAGATGCTTTAGCAGTTCACTTGGTCGTGTTACCTACTTTGGTCAGGTTCAATCCCTGAGCTGGGAAGATCCCTTGGAGAAGTGCACAGCAATCTGCTCCAGTACTCTTGCCTAGAGAATCCCATGGACAGAGGAGCCTCTCAGGCTACAGTCCACAGGGTCAAAAGCGTCAGACACAACTGAAGCTACTGAGCACCCCTGTACACTAAAATAAGAGCCAAATCACTTTGTATAAAAGGCTTAAAGTTAAAAGAAGAAATAGTATGACAGATGAAGTCCACATATAGTTTTCAATATCTTGTATATATTCGGATTTAGATGGTAAAATAATCTACATTTTACACACTATATATTTGCTTCACAAGTATATAATAATGAATAGGATACAATATATGGAGCTTTATTACCACAATAAGTGGTTTTACAGACAGCTGAGTTATCTTCATAATGCATAAAATGTTTTACTGGTCTGATTAAAATAAATGCTATGTAATATTTTCTCTGGCACATGTTGCCCACAACTTCCATTCACTGTATCAAAAGAACCTGAAACTTTGCCACAGAGGAATAAAGAGGGGGGAAAATATCCCTACTACCAGAAAATTACCCTTGTGTTTCAATCAACCCTTCTCACCTCATATATCCCAATAAAGAAAACAATCCACATGCTTAAAGTCTAAAATAACCAGCCTCAATTAAAGGAGAAAAGGGGGGTAATAACACTCACAGAGGATGACAATTTTTGAAAAAGACCCCAGACAGCATGCTTATGTTACTAGGCTAGTCCTGCATAAACATTCCACAAAAAAAGAGTATAAAAATACATTCGTAACTTTAGGGTACTAAGAATATGAGAGAGTAGAAATGATCACATGTAGCCATGGACTCTTTCTTTCCTAAATGCAGAATATCAGCAGGATATAATGGAGAATTTATTTTTAAAATTGTAATCTATTGTCTTTTTTTATAGTATTTTTGTGAACTTTTTTTTTGTTTCGTGTGAATCTTTTTTCACTTCCTAACGAGGTACAGGTGGTAGCCACCAGCAAATGCATTTTCCTAACAAATTAAATAAAAGCCTGTTTCAACCAAACAGCATGACTATCCCAAGAAGTATTAATAAAACTGGGATATAAACCATTTTCCTAACTCCCTGTGTTCACTGGGATATTCCATTTTCCATTAACATATTATGGAACTTGAAACTAGTCAAGTAACCAAGCAGGACCCTATCAGGCATTCTGCCCTCCCAGGACAGACCACCACCTCCATATCCTCCACCTGCCTTTTATGTGTAGAAAAGCTTTACTCTCCTAGGCCTCCCAAGAGTCCCAAAAGGCTAGATCAAGAGTAAATGATTATGAAATGTGAAAATACAAAAACAAAACACAGCTAGCTGTTGGGCCAGGAAAGTGGTAAAAAATTTAAACTACAAACCAGTCACACAGCACAATCACTGAATTCCCAGTTCCCAGAAAGATTTATTAATAGATCAGGGTCTAACACACATTCTCAAGTTGTTTCTATAGGAAGTAGACTTCATCAGATGAAAACTGCTGGCCATAATCATGTAGACCCCAGATGGGTTAAAGTCAGAGGGTAGATGATGCCTGAAACATAATGCTTTTAAACTAATCAGTCAGTACCAACCAATCCGAGAATTGTGCACAAGCTGTTCACACATCCTGTAGGCCCCTCCCTCACACTGTCATTAAAACCTTTGACTCCTAACTGGCAACTTGGAAATGGTCTTAGGACATTGGTCTACCATCTTTTCAGATTGCTAGCCTGAATAAAGCAATTTTTTCCATTTATACCAATACTTTTCTCCTGAGTATTGGCCTTTCAAGCAACAAGTAGCCAAACTTGGATTCAGTTTGGCTTCATCCGGTGACAGTCAGTGCATATTTGATCAATGTAGAGAAATAATATATTAGATATTAATTATTTTCTATAGGACAGCCAAACAATATGAGCTTTCTTTATATTTCCTAAATGTATATACTGGCATATCAGCCAAATACAAGATACAAGGATAAATAAAGATTGGCAGAAGATAAAACCATATATCTTTTAATTTTAGTATTTTGAATACTCACCATCAGCTTTTGCCAATTTCAGTGCAGTTAGGAATTCATCTTTGTTTAAATTATTGTTCAAATTAGACAGAGTATTCCACAGGTCAGGAGCACTCATCTTTTCTTTGCTGAGATTGTGGAAGTTTTCAATAGTATCAAGCAATACTAAAGGGTACACAAAACACATGTTTTACAACATTCTTGTTCAAGAAATTAATACAGAAAACTATTATCTGGAATAGTTATGAATTGAGATTTTTATGGTTAAGAAGAATAACAAATAAAATATAAATTGCCAACTCCCAAATATTAAAATACAATAACATAACATAAAATTAAGTGTATCTTTGAAGATTCTAAAATATTTCAAGAACTTATAGTTCCATATATAAGGAAACTTAAAAATAACTAAGCACCCCTAAATAATCATTATAAAGAATAACTTTCATTGAACTTTCATTGATTTACAATAACCTGAATTCACAAATACGTCCAACTGATAAAATCATGAATTAAATAGCTTTTGCTCTGTATCTCCCCACAAAACCCTTTTCTGAACACCATACACAAAAATAAACTCAAAATGGATTAAAGATCTAAATGTAAGACCAGAAACTATAAAACTCCTAGAGAAGAACATAGGCAAAACACTCTCCGACATAAATCACAGCAGGATCCTCTATGACCCACATCCCAGAATATTAGAAACAAAAGCAAAAATAAACAAATGGGACCTAATGAAGCTTAAAGTTTTTGCACAACAAAGGAAACTATAAGCAAGGTGAAAAGACAGCCCCTCAGATTGGGAGAAANTACATGCAAAACAGAAAAAGAGACACAGATGTACAGAACAGACTTTTGGACTCTGTGGGAGAAGGCGAGGGTGGGATGTTTAGAGAGAACAACACTGAAACATGTATATTATCAAGGATGAAACAGATCACCAGCCCAGGTTGGATGCATGAGACAAGTGCTCGGGGCTGGTGCACTGGGAAGACCCAGAGGGATCGGGCAGAGAGGGAGGTGGAGGGGGGATCGGGATGGGGAATACGTGTAAATCCATAGATGATTCATGTCAATGTATGGCAAAAACCACTACAATATTGCAAAGTAATTAGCCTCCAACTAATAAAAATAAGTGGAAAAAAAATCCTCTTCTGGATAACTATTTCCTCTTCACTATACCACAGACTATGGAAGGAAATTTTGTTTTATTAAAATTCCAACAGAAAACCTTTGTAAGGTTTTAACAGGGAAGTGAAATTATCTTATTATAAAAGTATAAAAGATTATTTTATTGCTATGTAGACAATGAACTTTCTGAAGATCAGGCAGTTAGGAAGCTTTCGAAAAATGTCAGTGGTAGCAGTTCACAGAAAAAATGACAGTGGCATCAACAAGGGTGAAAATGATAGAGATGATGAGAAGTGAACAAACATAGGATATATTTTGAGCATAAAGCTGAGAGAGTATTTAATGATAAACTGAATGACAGTCTAAGGGGGCTGGGACCATGAAGAACTTCTAGGTTTGAGACCTGAGCAGCTGGGTGGAGAGTAGGATCAGTAGCTGAGATAGGAAAGACTAGGGAAAGAATAAGCTTGTCAGAAAACAAGAATTCTTTTCCATATACATTAAGTTTGAGATAAATAGGGAGTCAGAAGGATACAGGTATTATTTAAAGCAGTAGGATCACTCAGAAAAAGCCTTAGAGAATGAAACTCAGAATGGAATCTGGGATCACACTAACATTTAAAAGTCAGCCAGAAAAGAAGCAGCCAGCAAACAAAACAAAAGAGGAAGGGACATATACAATGGAATGTTATTCAGCAACTACAGAAAATTCTGCCACTTGCAACCTTGAGGGTATTAAGTGAGGTAAGTCAGACAGAGAAAGACAAATACTAGAAGATCTCACTTATATGTGAAATCTAAAAAAGCAGAACTCATAGAAAGAGAAAATAGGAATGGTGGCTACCAGGGCTTGAGGAGTCAGGGAGCTAGGGAGATGTTGGTCAAAGGATACTAGCTTGCAATTAGATTAGAATGCCCTGGGGTTCTAATGAACAGCATAGTGATTATGGTAAACAATATTGTACTGTATACTTGAAAGTTGTTAAGAGACTAAATCTTAAATGTTCTCACCACAAAAAAAGAAATAATAATGTGATGTGATGGAGGTGTTAGTTAACATTATGATGGTAATCCTACTGCAAAAAGTGTACCAAATCAACACATTGCATGCCTTAAACTTACACAATATGTCAATTATATCTCAATTTTTGAAAAAGGAAAAGCCAATTAGATGAGAAGGAAATTAGGAGACTACAGTGTCACAGAAGACAGGGGGAGAGAAATTTTGAAGAAAAACATGTTAAAACCTACTAGAGATAAATAAGATAAAGACAGAAAATTGACCACTGCATTTAGCAAGACAAGGTTTAACTTTTTGTAAAAAGCTAGTATGGAGTGCCAGGGCTTCCCAGCTGGCAGTGGTAAAAAATTCACCTGCCAATGCAGCAGACATAGAAGACTCGGTTTGATCCCTGGTTATCCTTCCAGGTTATCCCAGGAAGATAACCTGGAATAGGAAATGGCAACCTGCTCCAGTATTCTTGCCTGGAAAATTCCACGGACAGTAGGAGCCTGATGGGCTACAGTCTATGGGGTTGCAAAGAGTCAGACACAACTAGGAAACTGAGCACACATGCAGTGTGGAGTGGCAAGGTCAAAAATCTGAACAGTGCTTTTAAAGAGAGAACTGGCAACATGGTAGACTAAGAATAGCCAGATTCCCCTTCAACCTCAAACATAAACTATATTTTAATGCTAAATTCAGAATATCCATAAGTAATGTATTTGCTGAAGCTTACTTATCAACATGAGAAGCAGCCCAGTTCTTTGAGGGTGGGCACTCCACCATAGCTCACCCCTGATACCCGCTAACTAGACATTTCTCCAAAGAAGACATACAGATGGCTAAGAGATATGTGAAAAGAAGCTCAACATCACTAATTATTAGAGAAATACAAATCAAAACCACAATGAGATATCACCTCCCACCTGTCAGAATGGCTATCATCAAAAAGTCCATAAATAACAAACATCAGCAACGATGTAGAGAAATAGGAATACTTGTACCCTGTTGGTAGGGAGGTAATTTGTTGCAGCCACTGTGGAAAACAGTAAGGAGGCTCTTCAAAAAGCTAAAAACAGAACAACCATATGTCCAGCAATTTCACTCCTGGGTATATATTTGGAAAAACCAAAAACACTAATTTCAAAAGATAGACACACCTCAATGTTCATAACAACACTACTTATAATAGCCAAGATATGGAAGCAACATAAGTGTCCATTAACAAATGAATTTGTAAAGGAAAAAATGCCATATATATATACATACACAAACACACACACACACATACACACACACACACACAATGGAATATTCAGTTCAATTCATTTCAGTCACTCGATAGTGTCTGACTCTTCACGACCCCATGGACTACAGCACACCAGGCTTCCCTGTCCATCACCAACTCCCAGAGTTTACTCAAACTATGTCCATCAAGTCAGTGATGTCATCCAACCATCTCATCCTCTGTTGTCCCCTTCTCTTGCCTTCACTCTTTCCAAGCATCAGGGTCTTTTCCAATGAGTCAGTTCTTCACATCAGGTGGCCAAAGTATTGGAATTTCAGCTTCAGCATCAGTCCTTCCAATGAATATTTACTGATTTCCTTTAGGATGGACTGGTTGGACCTCCTTGCAGTCCAAGGGACTCTCAAGAGTCTTCTCCAACACCACAGTTAAAAAGCATCAATTCTTCTGTGCTCAGGTTTTTTTATAGTCCAACTGTCACATCCATACATGACTACTGGAAAAACCACAGCTTTGACTAGATGGACCTTTGTTGGCAAAGTAATGTCTCTGCTTTTTAATATGTTGTCTAGGTTGGTCATAACTTTTCTTCCAAGGAACAAGCATCTTTTAATTTTATGGCTGGAGTCACCATCTACAGTAATTTTGGAGCCCAAGAAAATAAAGTCTGTCACTGTTTCCATTGTTTCCCCATCTATTTGCCATGAAGTGATGGGACCAGATGCCATGATCTTAGTTTTCTGAATGTTGAGTTTTAAGCCAACTTTCTCACTCTCCTTTTTCATTTTCATCAAGAGGCTCTTTAGCTCTTCTTCGCTTTCTGCCATAAGGGTGGTGTCATCTGCACATCTGAGGTTATTGATATTTCTTCTGGCAATCTTGAATCCAGCTTGTTCTTCATCCAGCCTGGCATTTCTCATGACATACTCTGCATATAAGTTAAATAAGCAGGGTGACAATATACAGCTTTGACGTACTCCTTTCCCGATTTGAAACCAGTCTGTTGTTTCACATTCAGTTCTGACTGTTGCTTCTTGACCTGCACACAGATTTCTTAGGACGATGTTCAGGAGGTCTGGTATTCCTATCTCTTTAAGAATTTTCCACATTTGTTGTGATCCACACAAAGGCTCTGGCGTAGTCAAAAAAGCAGAAGTAGATGTTTTTCTGGAGCTCTCTTTCTTTTTCGATGATCCAATGGACGTTGGCAATTTATCTCTTGTTGTTCTGCCTTTTCTAAATCCAGTTTGAACATCTGGAAGTTCACAGTGCATGTACTGTTGAAGCCTGACTTGGAGAATTTTGAGCATTACTTTGCTAGAGTATGAGATGAGTGCAACTGTGCGGCAATCTGATCACATGGACTACAGCCTTGTCTAACTCAATAAAACTATGAGCCATGGTGTGTAGGGCCACCCAAGACAGATGGGTCATAGTGGAGAGTTCTGACAAAATGGAATATTACTCAGCCATAAAAAGAACCAAATTCTGCCACTGCAGCAATTTGGATGCACCTAGACAATACTATGCTTAGTAAAATCAGTCAGATAAAGAAAAATACTGTATGATATCACTTTTATGTGGAATCAAATAAAATAAAACAAATGAATGTATACAATAAAGAGAACCAGACTCACATATATAGAAAACAAATTAGTGGTTGCCAGTGAGGAGAGGAAAGAACAGAGGGAAAGGACAAAATACCTGTAATGGGATTAAGAGATACAAACTTTTATGCATAAAATAGACAGCAACAAATATATACTGTATAGCACAAATAATTATAGCCATCATCTTGTAAAATACAAAAAATAAAGTAAATGAATAAAAATCAAGATAAAAGAATAAAAACAAAAATAAACTCTACAGCAGCCACACAGAATGATCAACACAGAATAACCACACACAATGGCTTACATAAAATCTAAATGAGTACACAATGTAAAAATATACATCCAGTCACTGAATGTGCTTGAAATGGTTTTACTAAAATTATTTTCTCTTGGCATTTACTTTAATTTTAAAATTACTTAAAGAAAAAGAATTAGAAAGGAAATAATCTAAAAATGAAATTTCTAGGAAAAGTGACTGACAAGCAAATAATCCTTTCATCCAACTAATCAATTGGATTTCCTTATATAGGAAACAAATTAAATTGATATATAAGGTAAAAATGGCTGTTACTTAAAGTGCACTATTTCCTAATATATGGCACAAAATAACACAATCCTACTTTTAGCACCAATTTTTAAGGTACTAATTTCATTCCATTTAAAATATACATATATGACCTTACATTTTTTTACAGTGAGCTTCTTAGTTACAAAGACTGTCTTTTTCATTTTCAAACAGTGTCTTTAGCACTCTCACAGCTTAACATATAATCTGATACATAGTAATGGCGCAACAAATGTTATCAAATAAATTGGAAGATGAAAAAAATATGAACAGCTGAAACCAGAAATTTTGTATTATAGTACTCAGCTATGATCACTAGATGGCATCACTTTCCCAAAATAATAAAACGTTTAAAATCTTCCCAAAATATGGATTTCATATATGTGATTCTAGCTCTATATAATGAGGTGTGAGGTTGAGTAGTAAGATTATGATAGCTTTCAATCCATTTGCATAGGGAAGGTCTTCTAGATTTAGGAATCAGTAACGGAGATGATTAAGGTCAAACATAGCAGTAAGCCAACTATTTATTTGCCTGATGATCTTCAGGATACCTGGCTCTTTTAGTATTACACTTTTCTAAAGTCTGTCAAACTATTTAGTCCACAAAAAGTACAAATTCTTACCTAATTTTTCAGAGAAGCGTTCCGTGTTTCTCATCATAGTATCAACAAATTGTTTAAAATTCACTTTTTTTGTTTCTAAAGGGAAAAGAACACATTTTCTTCAGTATTAACTTAAAGATTTATTGTGATAAATACTAAATTATGTAAAATAAGTTATATATTCAGGGAGATAACATCATTATATCCATCAGCTAATACTAACCACTAAAGATATATGGGTATAAGGGGGGAAAGCAGTTCAATTCACAGGCAAAAACTAAGCCCTGAAAACACCAAGAAAGCTTATCAAAAATCCCTCTAGTCACAAGTGTACAACGTTTTTAACTTTAAACTTATATAATCTTGACTTGACCTTGCAACAACTCAGTAAATATGTAGGCAAAGAATTAATATGCTATTTATACATGTTAAAAACATGCATATATGATATGATTTCACAACAGATAATACAAAACCAGGAGTTAGAAGAGAGCTCTCTTGACTCTTGACTTCTTCTATATCAGGCTAACATTCATACTAATATCTTTACTCAAGCATGCTACTGAAACAATTAAACATTTTAATAGTCACTTTATACCTTAAAAATTCTTCATAATATCCCAATGATAATGAATAAAACATTTCTAAGAATTTTCCAGGGTCTGATATAAAGATTTTACATAAATATGGTGAGTTTTTAATAATCCTAGTCCTTTGCTTACCCCACTGAGAAAAAAAAATTCTAATACACTATAAAAAATACAGCACAGTATACTTCTATTTTCAAGACTAAATATCCTTGAGTATTTTACTTCAAAGAGCACCAAATCACTTTATATTCTTAGTCAAATCCACTGAGAAAAAAGAAGTGAGACCTTGAAAAATTCCGGGGGAATTCAGAGTTAATTAAGATTTACATTCCCTGACAGGAACACATAAGTTTTCTAAAGCAATAAATTCTGCTCTTTTATTTTATTATATTTGATACCCTCATAGCTCAGATGGTAAAGAATCCACCTGCAATGCGGGAGACCTGGGTTCGATCCCTGGGTTGGGAAGATCCCCTGGAGGAGGGCATGGCAACCCACTCCAGTATTCTTGCCTGGAGAATCCCCATGGACAGAGGAGCCTGGCGGACTACAGTTCATAGGGTTGCAAAGAGTTGGACACAACTGAGCAACTAAGCACACACACATACATACAAAAAAAATTTTGAGACATATATTCATTACGAAAGGCTTCTCTGGTGGTTCAGATGGTGAAGAATCTGCCTGCAATATGAGAGACCCAGGTTTGATCCCTGGGTTGGGAAGATCCCCAAGAGAAGGGAACGGCTACCCATTCAGTATTCTTGCCTGGAGAATTCCATGGACAGAGGAGCCTGGAGGGCTACAGTCCATAGCGTCACAGAGTCAGACACAACTGAGTGACTGGGCACACATTAAAATCAATGCTGCCTTGAACATGTCTGCTTGTACATCAGTGCAAATGATTTTCTTGGATTTACAGCTGAAAGTGAATTTTTCTAAGCCACAGGGATATGAAAACCTTACAAAATACTACATAATCTTTTTCAAAGTTTTTTAAACCACTTTCACCACTTTTCACTTTCATATTTAGCAACACTTACATTAACAGAAATCTTAATTTTTGCCAAGTAGGTGGATATAAAAAGTTATCTCACTGTGATCTAAATTTTGCATTTCCCTGATTCCTAATGATCTTGCAAATGTTTTTATATGATTATTAGAAATTTGTATTTGTTCCCCTGGATATGACTGTTCTTGAAACTTAGATATTTTTTCTATTAGGTGGTTATTTTATAGGGCTCCCTACAAATACTCTAAAATAATCATCTGCTGTTATGTATTGAAAATAATCTTTACTCAGTTTGTAACTTGTCCTTTTTGTATTATCTTTTAGTAAAGAGAAGTTCTTCATTCTCATGTAGCAAAATTTATCAATCTTTTCTGCTTAGTGATTTTGAATTTTTTTTTAAAAGTCCCTCCTAACACTAAGTTAGAAAATTTTTCCTCCTTTTTTCCTAAAACTTTTACTGTTCACATCTGGAAAGTATTACTGAATATGGCATATAGATAGGGATTCAATCCCTTTTTTTCCATTTGAAGAGTTAATTACTCCAGCACCATTTATTAAATGGTGCTTCTTTTTCCCCTTATGATCTACCACCTCATTATATATATTTCCATATATGTGTGTAGATAAATTTGGAAGTTCCTTCTACTGTCTTATTGGTCAATTTCTCTATCCCTGTGCCATTCTCACACTGTTTAAATTACTATAGCTTTCTAATGAGCCTTGATAATCCAGAAAGCATGTCTCAGTCAACACCATACACACACACATACACACACACACCGCTACACACGTTTTTCTTCTTCTTGGCCTTTGCTCACACATACAAATACTAGAATTAGCTCATCAAAAAAGTTAGGGTTTTATTAGAATTGTTTTAGATAAATAGATTAATTAGATTTGACAGTCTTGGGTCTCTGAGTCCATGAATATGGGGTATATTATCATTTATTTAGGTATTTGTAATGTCTTTTATACTTTTTATCATTTTATCCACATAGGTCTTATATAACTTATAATAGATTTGTTTCTATTTCTTTTTACTTTTCATTATGAAAAATTGTAAATATATTCAAAATAGAAAGTAAATGGCAATGAGCACCAAGTATACTCCCTAGATGCAAATATCAACTCATGGTCATTATTATTTTATCTATAACCATATACACTCCTCTACCTCACTCTCAACCTTTCTCTTTAGGAAAGTTGCTGCTATGTTCTAGGGGCACCTAAAAGAATTGGTGGGCTTTATTATGAACTGTGGGCTTTGATATAATAAAGTCGTCCTTTGTCCCACTTAATGCCTTTAGTCCTGACTTGTGTCAATCAGAAAGCAAAATCACAAACCCTACTTTCTTTTTGTTTACATTTTTGCCTAGGGGAAAAATAGTCTGAAAGACTATTAAGACTGCTTATTTCTGGACAATGAGATTTTAAGAGTCTTGTACTTTTGAATATTTTTGTACTTTTCTGTATTTGCTTAACTTTAATGGACTTTTTTTCCAATAAAATCTGTAAAGTCATCACTCTGAGGAAAAGAATAGCAAACTCATCCTCTTTTCAGATATATCAACCCAGTTTTCCTGACAATATGTCACTTACCACCAACTTCAGTCAACTCTGTGATCTTCTGAAATTCTGGCTTAGAAAGGTAAACTCCTAAATTTTGAAGACAAGTGTTCAGATCCCCATAATCAATATTTTCATCTTTAATTTTATCAATAGCTTTAATGACACCAGCCAACACTGAAAATAAAGTAGTATGCAAATAAGTATTATATATATGTCAAAAAGAAAACACCAATAGTAAGATGAATTTTGGTTTTAACATACCAATGAAATATTAAATATTTCACAAATGTTATATATGAAAAGCATTGTCAGAATCTTTAATAATATGAACATTAATAAGTTATAAAATCAGAGTATGAAATATGTGGAGAAAAGAGAAGAAAGAATCAATGAACTGAAAGATAGCAAAATCACCCAATGAACAACAAAAGAAAATCAGTTCAGTTCAGTCACTCAGTCGTGTCCCACTCTTTGTGACCCCATGAATCGCAGCATGCCAGGCCTCCCTGTCTATCACCAACTCCCAGAGTTTACTCAAACTCATGTCCATCGAGTCGGTGATGCCATCCAGCCATCTCATCCTCTGTAGTCCCCTTCTCCTCCTGCCCCAAACCTCTCCCTGCATCAGGGTCTTTTCCAATGAGTCAACTCTTCAGATGAGGTGGCCAAAGTATTGGAATTTCAGCTTCAACATCAGTCCTTCCAATGAACACCCAGGACTGATCTCCTTCAGGATGGACTGGTTGGATCTCCTTGCAGTCCAAGGGACTCTCAAGAGTCTTCTCCAACACCACAGTTCAAAAGCATCAATTTTTGGGCGCTCAGCTTTCTTCACAGTCCAACTCTCACATCCATACATGACTACTGGAAAAACCATAGCCTTGACTAGACAGACCTTTGTGGACAAAATAATGTCGCTGCTTTTTAATATGCTATCTAGGCTGGTCATAACTTTCCTTCCAAGGAGTAAGCGTCTTTTAATTTCAAGGCTGCAGTCACCATCTGCAGTGATTTTGGAGCCCAAGAAAATAAAGTCTAATACTGTTCCCACTGTTTCCCCATCTATTTCCCATGAAGTGATGGGACCAGATGCCATGATCTTAGTTTTCTGAATGTTGAGCTTTAAGCCAACTTTTTCACTCTCCTCTTTCACTTTCATCAAGAG